TAAAATTTTCCCCTTGCATCTTTTCCTATCTTCTTTCCCTCATAATAATTGTTCATTCCTTTTATGAAGTTTCTTTCCCTTTTACTATGTCTATTGTACCTTTCAGTTTTATTTACTTCCAGGTTCTTACACTAGGGAGACAACACAGTGTTTGCACATGTGAGTCTGACTTAATTCACTTATGAATATAGCCTTTACTTGCATCCATTTATCTATAAAAGCCTCAACTGCATTTTTCTTTGTAACCGAAATAATACTATATTATATAAAAGTACTACATTTTTTTTTATCCATTCCTCAGTTGATTGAAATTTGGGTTTTTTCCAAGAGTTAGCTATGACAAATTGTGCTGCTATCAACATAGTGCACATATATCGCTGTGGTGTGATGTGTCCAATTCTTCTGGAAAAACACCCAGAAGAGGAAAAGCTGGGTTGAATGGGACTTTCAGCCCTAGTTTTGAGAACTGTTCAAACTGCTATCCACAGCAGTTGTACCAACTTACACTCCAACAGCAGTGGAGAAGGGTTCCTTTTTCCCCACAGCATCTTCAGCATTTGATATTAGTTGATTTCCTTATTATAGCCTTTGTTTCTGGAGTGAGATGGAATCTCTGTGTTGTTTTCATTTGCACTTCTTGAATCCCTGGTGGTGTTGAACATTTTTGTATATCTCTTTGCCATTTGTATTTCTTTCTCTGAGAAATGTGTATTTGTCATGGATGCCCATTTCTCAACTGTGTCTCTGAAGTGTGGGCTCTTGTATTTTTTAATTCTTTATATTCTGTAAATAGAAGTCCTTCACATGAGTGACTTCAGGTTAAAATGCTTTCCCAATTTGTGAATATCATTCACTATGTTGGTGTTTTGTTTTGATGGACAAAAACTTTGAAATAAAATGAAATCCAGTTGTTGATTCTTTAGAGTATTTCCCATGTAGTTTGCGTTTTGTTCATGAACACTCTGCCTATCCTTAAGTTTTCAAGAAATCTGTGCTTCCTCTTCCAGTAGATTTAGCACTTCTCTTTTACTTTTTGTTGTTGTTGTTGTTGTTGTTTTTTGGGGTGTTTTTTTTTAACCAGGGAATGAACTCATGTCCGTGTGCTTGCCAGGCAAGTGCTTATTCTACTGAGCTATCTCCCTGACCTCTAGTATTTTTCTTTAAATGTTTAGATCTTTAATCCAGGAAATTAACCAATATCTAGATCTTTAATCCATCTTAACTTTAATTTAGTGCATGGTGATAGACATGGATATAGTTTTAGTTTACAGCTTGTGAAAGCTAGCTTTTCCAGCATCATTTTTTTTCCAGCACCATTTTTTAAAGAGGCTACAGTTTATCCAGTGAAACTGTTTAGTGCCTTTGTTAAAGATAGGGAGGCCGAGTGTGTTTATAGTTTTGTCTGCATCTTCCATTCTGTTTCTTTGTTCCTCATGTCTATTTTGTTGTTGTTATTGCTGTTCTTGTGTTGTCTGTTTGTTTGCATGTTGCCACCACCATGCTGAGTTTATCACAGTAGTTTTGTGGTATAACTTCAAGTCAGGTATTGTAATGCCTCCTATTTTCAACTTTTTGCCTTTTCTACTCTAGGTCTTTTGTGATTCCAAATGAATTTTAGGATTTTTTTCTCCATATCTCTGAAGCATACAAATGCTATTTACATCAGGATTGTATTAAATTGGTATAACAGGAAGCTCCAGTGGCACAACCGGTTAGCGCGTGGTACTTATAAATTTGTATAACAGTTTTGGGAGTAGGACCATTTTCACAATGTTGGTTCTTCTTTTCCATGAGTAGAAAAGGATTTCCATTGTCTAAAATCCTCATAGATATTTTTTTCAGGATATTGTAATTTTCATTGTATAGATCTTTTATTTCCTTGGTTTAAGAATTCATAAATATTTCATTTATTAAATGATATAGTAAAGAGAGTTGCTTCCCTAATTTCTGTGTCAGTGAGTTTGTTGTTTGTGTACAGGAATGCAATTTATTTTTGGTTGTTGATTTTGTATCCTGCTATGCTATTGAATTTGTGTATTAATTGTAGGAGTGTTTTCATGGAGTGTCTTGGTCTTCCATGTAGAGTACCAGGTCCTACAAAAATAATGAGAATTTAATATCTTCCTTTCCAATTCTTATTCCTTTTATTTCTCTGTCTTATCTAATTGTTCTGGCTAACATTTCCAGAGCTATATTGAATAGGATTGGTAACAGTGGACAGCCTCATCTGGTACCTGATTTTAGAAACAAAGCTTTCAGTTTTTGTGCATTTAGTATGATGTTGGCTATTGGTTTGTCATAGATGAATTTTGTCTGGTTGAGGTAAAGACCATCTATTACAATTTTTTTAGGGATTTTATCATGAATGAGCATTGAACTTTAATAAAAGCTTTTTCTTCATCTAATGAGATGATCATTTGTTGTTGTTGCTGTTGGCTCTGTTGATGTGGTGAATTAATTTATCAATTTGTGTAAGTTTAACCATCCCTGCATCCATGGGTGAATCCTACCTAGAGATGATGTCTAAGCTTGTTGATGATTTGCTGCATTGTTTCCTAGTATCTTTTTTAGCATTTTTTCTTCTATATTAATTAAGCAGATTCATGAGTAATTTTTATGGTTGAGTCTTTCTCTGAGGTTGATATCAGAGTAATTCTTACCTTCAGGAATGAGCTTGGGAGAATTGTTTTCCTTTCAGTTTCATTTATGAATTTGAGAAGTATTGTCATTAAATTTTCCCTAAATTTCTCATAGAATTCAACTTTGAATCCATCAGGATCTGGGCTGTATTTTCCTTGTAACATTTTTATTACATTTTCAATTTCATTAAGTGATATTGGGTTATTCAGCATTTTTACACATTAATGGTTCAAGTTAATAATTAATATGTATCCTGAAATTTGTCCATTTCTCATACATTTTCCATCCTGTGAGAGTAAATATTTTGGATATAGGTATTAGTATCTTCTGAATTTACATGATCTCTAGTAATTTCAACCTTTTTAATTCCTTACTGCATGTATTTGAGTGTTTTTTCCCTTTTCATGAGGTTGAGTAGGGCTTTAACCATTTTATTTAAGTTTTCATAGACCCAACTCTTCAATACATTAACTCTTTATATTGTTTTCTTCATCTTAATTGCATTGATTTCTGCTCTGATCTTTATCATTTTCCCCTTTCTTTGGACTTTGTGCTTGACTTGTTCTTCTTTTTCTAGAACCTTGAGGTGCAGCATTAGGATATTTATTTGTTCCCATCCTTTTTTCTTAATGTGAGAGCTCACCACTATCTTTCATTGCATTCCACAAATTCTGGTAAGTTGTGTTTAAATTTTTGTTTGATTGTGGACACTGTTTGATTTCTCCTTTAATTTCTTCTCTGACCCATTGGTTGCTCAGCTGGATGTTATTTAATCTCCATGAGTTTTGGGAGTTTTTGCAGTTTCTTTTATCCTGAATTTCCAGTTTCATTGCACTAGGGTCTGATAACATGTGTGGGATAATTTCAATTCCCTTGGGTTTACTTAAGGATGTTCTGTGGACAGCTATGTGTGGTCTACTTCAGAGAATATCGAATGAGCAGCTGAAAAGGATGTGTCTTAAGAGTGGATGAGTAGAACACTTTGTAAACATCTACTTAGTTCAATTGCTCAATGGTTTGGTTCAGTCCCTCGACCTCATCAATAATTTTTTTTGGGGGGTGGGACCAGGAATTGAACTCATGCCCTTGCACTTGCCAGGCAAGCGCTTATTCTACTGAGCCATCTCCCAGGCCACCTCATCAATAATTTTTTGTTTTGGGCTGGGGAGATAGCTCAGAGGCATAAGCACCTGCCTGGCAAGCTCAAGGTCCTGAAATCGAACCTTAGTACTGCAAAAATAAATACATACATAAATAAAATTTTTATAAAAAAGAAAAAAAATAATTTTTGTATGATTGACATATATCTTTCAAACAGTGGGTGTGAATGTCTTCCATTAAGATTGTGTTATTTGTTATTTGATTTTTCATGCCCTTTTAAATTTGTCTTATATCGTTTGGTGTTCCTATATTTGGTGCACACATATTTATGATTGTTATATTTTCCTTTGAAGTTTCATCCTAACAAGCATGTAATTACCTACTTTATCTCATTGCATCATTCCTGGTGTGAAGTTCACGTTGTCTGTGAGCAGAATAGCTACCCCTGTTTTGTGTGTGTGTGTGTGTGTGTGTGTGTGCGAGAGAGAGAGAGAGAGAGAGAGAGAGAGAGAGAGAGAGTTCCTTCTGCATGTAGTATTGCTTTCCAGCCTTTGACTCTCAGCCTGTGAATTTCCTTTTGAATTAAATGTATTTGTTGTATACAGCATATTGTTGGATTTTGTTTCTTAATCCACTCTGCCAATTAAAATAAACAATTTTAATTGATGAACTGGGACCATTTACATTGCTAGTTAAAACTGATATGCATTTGCTTTTCTTTGTCATGTTTTCCTGCTCTTGGTTCTCTACTTTTCCCCTGTGTTTAATTGCTTGCCCTGCTTGATGGTGTCTTTCTGTTGTTGTTTTTGGAATTGTGGTCATGGTTATCTCTTTCTAGAATATCTTCTAGTATTCTTTGTAGGGTTGGTTTTATCGTTATGAATATCTTTAGCTGTTCTTTGTTGTGGAAGTATTTTACTCCTCTATTAATTTTGAAAATAGTTTTGCAAGGTATTTCAGTATAGGTCAGAAGCTGTTTTCTTTCAGGCCTTGAAATACTTCTCTCCAAACTCTTTTTGACTTTATAGTTTTCAGTAAGAAACCAGATGTGATTAAAGAAGGGCTTTTCTTTATGTGGAATCTCTTCTCTCCAACAGTTTTTAATATATTATTCTTGTGATGAATTTCTGGCATCTTGATTGTTGCATTTCTGGGTGTAGATTTATTCTGGTTGACATTAACTGGAGTCCTACATATCTCACTTTCTGAATGTCAGATTCTTTTCCCATGCTTGGGAAGTTGTCTGCACTTTTTTTTTTTTAAATACGGAATGCTTCACAAATTTGCGTGTCGTCCTTGCAAAAGGGCCATGCTAATCTCCTCTGTATTGTTCCAATTTTAGTATAGGTGCTGCCAAAGTGAACACAGTTGTCTGCTATTACTTTTGCAAATTGCCTTTTTGTGTCACTTGTGTTAACTCCTTTTTATTGAAACCTATCAGTCCTATGATGTTCATCTTTGTGTCATGTTCTAAATGTTCAATCATTATGTCCTGGTTTCTTCTTATTCTTAAGAGATTTTTCCTTTCCTGGTTTCTAGTTACAACTATGTCTTCAAGATCTGAAAGTCTATCTTCAGTTTTATTCCAAGTCTTTTGCCAGGTTTTGATGGAAGTTTTAATTGCCTAGATATCTCATTGAGTCTCTTTCATGCATCCAATTCTTTACTATACATTCATTTAAGGTTTCCATCATTTTTCTATGCTCCACTATATTTTTATCTATGTCTTCTTTCAATATTCTCAGCAATATTTTCATTCTGATTATCATTTCTTTACCTGAGAGATTATTTCTGATCTGATTTCCTCTCTCCCCACCTGGAATTGCTTCTATAATTCAGTCCCTGTCATTTGAGACAGTTCAGGTGTGTGCCTTCTAATTTCTTCTATGTTGATGTCTCCCAGACTTCTTCTGGGTGAGCTGAGGTCCTGAGGTTGCATTTTTCTCCTTTGGCTTGTCACTGTCTATTTCAGAAAGAACTCTTTTAATTTCTGTAATAAACCGTGTGAAAATTTGTTACTAGGTAGCTATATCACTACTATCAAAGACATTTTAGAGGGGCTGGAGAGATGGCTCAGTGGTCTAAAGCACCTACTTAGAACAAGCTTAGCAAAAGCATCAGGGACCGCGGTTCAATCCCCCAGCAC